ACACACAATCGAACGCATAGTCAATGAAACAGATATTCCTCCGGTGCTCTCTGCTTTGCAGCCGAGATCCATCTAACATTAGCTATAATATCCCTACTACCATGGTCTCTTCTAAACTCAGCCCACATATCTGGCAGTTAGTCCCAATGAAATTGAATGACCAAATATTGAAAAATGCTAGCTAGCAAATGTGTTCATTCTGGAGGAGAGAATAGCAAAGTAGAAACATGGAAGGAGAACTGGAAGGGATATTAAACATCATCCCATTTTCAAAGTGTAGTTAACTTCATAAAAAATAAATAAATAAGTCTGAGAACTCCAATATCCTAACCAGATCAACACAGAGCTAGTTATGGGGTCCATTGCCAGGAAAACCTTGAATTCTTCCTCTTTGTGTCCATATCTCACAGTAGTTGCCTGACAGTCCTGTTGCAATTCAAGAGCTCTTGGAAATAAACTAATGTTTGGTTAAGAATATGTCATGTAACAATAATATTCAGGAATTTATTATGAGAACATAAAAGGTTGTCAAGATGACTCAATATTGAAAAACAAAAATAAAAAGAACTCTTTGGGAAAGAACACTAAAGACAAAACATCCAGCCCACTTCTCTTAATTAGTAAGGAGGGTACTGTGACTTCAACAGTGAGATAGTCTAATTAGGAAAAACAGGGGAAATTGTTAGATTTAGGTGGCAAATATTTACAAACATTGCTGAGATCTGGGTGCAAGAATGTTCTTTAAAAATATGCGTTAGAATCTCAAACATAAAAAGGGATCACTAATATACGCCATTTCCCTTCTTCCTTCAGAATAAAAAATGAGAGAAAGTGAGAGAAGTAACTTTGGTAAATCAACCTTATCTTCAAGAGATGTCTTTGACTCTTGTGCTGTTCTACTGCCCTCTGCTGGATGTAGGATATTTATGGCTTTAAGAGGAGACATTTATCCTCTCCTGGTTGTAGATTTTTCAGGATGCTTGGAAGACTGTTTATATTGTGGATTAGGACTTCTAGAGTTCTTCCAAGTTGTTTTTTTTTAAATGAAGTTTATAGTCCTTAGTTTTAGTCCTAGGTCCATATGGGATCTATTTGGAGTGTTTTTTTGTGTATGGAGTGAGGTACGGAACTTGCTTGAGTTTTCTGCAGATAGATCTCCATTTTTTTCCCTTTTTCTTTTATGGTGGAATAAGTTTATTCTTATGTACAGAAAAGTCAGTGTGTACATCAGCCCAGTTTGGTGGCAAGTTCTTTGGCCTTGGCCTTCTCCAGCTTGGTGATGCGGGCCACGGAGTTGGGCCCCAAGACATTTTGTCCCCCGTGGCAGCGGATCTCATCATATATCGTTGTAATTGGTTCTCATGGCGTCTACCAGCTTCACCAGAGCGCCTTTATCTTCTAGGTTCACCTGCGTGAAGGCAATAGTGGTGCAGGTCTTCCAATGGATGAGGTGGCCCAGCCTGGCCTTGCCCTTGACGATGCAGTAGGGAATACTCATCTTAAGACACACAAGGCCGGCAGGAAGACCACCAGCTCTATCGGGTCCACGTCGTGTGCGATCACCACCAGTTGGACTTTCTTGTCCTCCACCAAGGTGGCGATCGTATTCACACCCTCATGGAGGACCGGGGTCTCTTGATGGGAGTGTCTCCTTTGCCAGCAGCCTTCTTCTCAGCCTGGGCCAGCCACCTCTGCTTCTTCTCCTTCTTGGTCTCTGGTCTGTACTTGTGGGCCAGCTTCAGCAGCTGAGTAGCCATCTGGCAGTCCAAGGCCTGGGTGAACTGGTTAATGGCGGGTGGCACCTTGAGTCGTTCATAGAAGATTGCCCTCTGCTGCTGCAGTCGGATGTAGTGGGGTCGCTTGACAAAGCAGGAAAGGTCCTTTTGGGTTGGATGTCCTCCCGAGGCCAAAGTTTCTGAGTCTTTTCTCAAACAGGGGATTCACCACCTTCTTGGCCTCCTGCTTCTTGACCACAGCGAGCACTGGGGCTACATTCTTCCCCTTGGCCTTCTTTCCCTTTGGTATCTTGAGAGGATGGGCAAGAGAGTAGTTTTCCAATTTTGGCAGCACCATTTGTTAAAAAGGCTGTCATTTCCCACTTAATGGATTTCATCTTGTCAAAAATCAGTTGACCATAGGTAGATGGGCTGATTTCTGGATTCTCAATTCTATTCCATTGATCTATGTGTCTGTCTTTGTTCCAGTACCATGCTGTCTTAACCACCACAGAAATGTAGTAGGATTTAAATTCAGAAAGTGAGATGCCTCCTAC